CCAGTCAGTCAGTTAGTTAGTCAGCCAGTCATGACACTATCAAGTTAGTCAATCAGCCAGTTATGACTCTATCAGTCAGTCAGCTAGTTAGTCAGCCAATCATGACTATCAGTTAGTCAGTCAGCCAGCCAACCAGTCAGCCAGTCAGCCAGTCAGTCAGTCAGTCAGCCAGTCAGCCAGTCAGTCAGTCAGCCAGTCAGTCAGTCAGTCAGTCAGTTAGTCAGTTAGTCAGTCAGTCAGTCAGTCAGTCAGTCAGCCAGTCATGACTCTATCAGTCAGTCAGCTAGTTAGTCAGCCAATCATGACTATCAGTTAGTCAGTCAGCCAGTCAGCCAGTCAGTCAGTCAGCCAGTCAGTCAGTCAGTTAGTCAGTCAGCCAGTCAGTCAGCCAGTCAGTCAGTCAGTCAGTCAGTCAGTCAGTCAGTCAGTCAGTCAGCCAGTCATGACTCTATCAGTTAGTCAGCCAGCCAGTCAGTCAGCCAGTTAGTCAACCAGTCATTACTTTATCAGTTAGTTAGTCAGTCATCCAGTTAGTCAACCAGTTAATCATCCAGTCATGACACTGTCTATTGGTCAACCAGTCAGCCAGACAGTAGGTCGGTCAGCCAGTCAGTCAGCCAGTCATGACTCAATCAGTCAGCCAGTCAGTCAGCCATGACTCTATCAGTTAGTCAATCAGCCAGTTATGACTCTATCAGTCAGTTAGCCAGTTAGAAAGACAATCATGACTATCAGTTAGTCAGTTATTTAGTCAGTCAGTCAGTCCGTGAGGCAGTTAGTCAACAACTGAGCCAGTGAGTCAATCAGTCAGTCAGTCATTCAGTCAGCCAGTCAGTCAGTCAGATAGTTTGTCAGTCGGCCATTCAGCCAGTCAGTCAGTTAGTCAGTCAGTCATCCAGTTAGTCAGTCAGCCATTCAGCCAGCCAGTCAGCCAGTTAGTTAGTCAGTCAGCCAGTCAGTCAGTCAGTCTCTCATTTAGTCAACCAGCCAGTTAGTCAGTCTGCCAGTCAGCCAGCCAGTCAATCAGCCAGTAGGTCACCCAGTCAGTCAGCCAGTCAGTCAGCAGTCATGACCTTGTACGTCAGACAGTCAGCCAGTCAGTCAGTTAGTCAGTCAGTCAGTCAGCTAATCAGTCAGCCAGTTATTCATTCAGTCAGTCAGTCAGTTGGTCAACAAGTCAGCCAGTCAGTCAATCAGTCAGTGAGTACCCCTTGTCAATCAGTCAAACAATAATCGTCCCAGAGTTATTCATTCAGTCTACCGCCGTTTTCAGCCAGCAGCCATTTTTTAGTAATCAGTCGTCTCAGTTAGTCAACAACAGGCCCGTCAGTCATCCGTCAGACAGTTCAGACAGTTGTTGCCAGTCGTCAGCCATTCCCCCAGCCCGTCAGTCAATAGTCATCATTCAGTCCCAACCCGTCAGCCAGTCACCCCCCCGTCAGCCATCATTCAGCCAGTAGTTTGTGTCTGCCCGCAGCCTGCCAGTCAATCAGCCCGTTTTGGGCACCCGTCAGTCCCCGTTAGTCAGCAGTATGCCTTGAAATCATAGTCAGTCAGTATTATCCATTATCAAACATCAATCAGAAATCATAGCCAGTTATTAATTTGTCAACCAGCCATTTTGTCAGCCAGTCGCAGTTTTTTTAGTAAATCAGTCAGTCACAGTTTGTCAACAAAACAGCCGTCAGTCAACACAGACATTTTGTCTGCCCGTCAGTAGAGGCCCGGAAAGTCACCACCTAAATCAGGGCCCGCCCCGTCAGCCCCGTTGTTCTTCATCAGCCAAAACCAGTCGTCCCAGTCACCAGTCCCAGTCCTTAGTCTCCCGTCGCCTCAGCCATAGTCAGCCCGCACCAGTCACCAGCACTTAGTCAGCCGCACCAGTCACCATCATCGCCAAAAGCCAGTTGTACCAGCCAGCCAAACATTTAGCCACCATCACCAGTCACTTAGTCACCCGTCGTCAGCCAGCAGCCCGTCAGTCAGCCATCAACCATGTCTCGCCATAGCCATCACTAGTCACCAGTCAGCCGTCATCTAGTCAACCCTTTTGTCAGCCATCAGCCGTCAGTCAGCATAGCCCGTCAGCGCCAGTCAGCTGGTCAGCCTTGCCCCCAGTTGTCAGCCAGTCACCTTTTTTTCAGCCATCAGCCGGTAGCCAGCGCCGTTAGTCAGCGCAGCCCGGGCAGTCAGTCGCCAGTTTTCGTCAGCCGCCGTTTGTCGTCAGCCCGTTGTCACCAGTCACCCTCGCAGCCATTCAGTCAGCCAGTTAGTCGTCAGCCCGTCAGTCATCACCCCGTCAGTCATCACCGCCAGTTAGTCAGTCAGACAGTCGTCAGTAGCCAGGTCAGTCGCCAGCCAGTTTTCAGCCAATCCAGTCAGCAGTCAGCCAGTCGTCAGCACCATCTCAGTCAGTCAGTCAGCCCCTTAGTAGTCCCAGTCACATCAGCCATCAGTCATCGCATCAGTAGTCAGTCAGCCGTCACCAGTCAGTCAGTCAGCACCAGTCGTCGCCCTCAGTCATCAGTCAGTCAGCCATCGCCATCATCAGTCAGCCAGCCGCCAGTTAGCGCCAGTCGCCTTTAGTCAGTCGCAGTCAGTCAGTCATCGCCAGTCAGTCAGCCAGCCCAGTCAGTCAGCCGCCAGTTAGTCGTCAGCCCGTCAGTCAGTCACAGCCATTTTCGTCGCCCGCCCGTTAGTCAGTCAGCCCGTCCGTCAGCCCCGTCATCGTCAGCCATCTCAGTCAGTCCAGTTAGTCATTCAGCCCGTCGCCAGTCATCAGTAGAGTCATTCAGTCATCATCGTCAGCCAGTCCCCCCAGTCACGCCGTCAGTCGTCATCAGCCGTCGTCGTCCCGTCGCCAGTCAGTCAGCCCGTCAGCCAGTCTCACCAGCCAGCCCGTTTTCGCCAGTCACCAGTCAGTCAGTCGCCAGTCGTCAGTCAGTCGCCAGTCAGCACCACCAGTCAGTCATCATAGCCCCTCAGCCAGCTTAGTCGTCCCAGTGTCATTTAGTCAGCCGTTGTCGTCAGCCAGTCAGTCATAGCCCTCATCAGTCACCATCGTCAGTCAGTCAGTCAGCCATTTTTTCAGCCACCAGTCGTCGCCAGTCATCAGTCAGTCAGCCTCAGTCAGTCAGTCAGTCAGTCATCAGTCAACCAGTTGTCCCGCCGTCAGCCATCAGTCATCAGCCAGTTATCAGCCAGTCAGCCAGTCGCGTCAGCCCGTTAGCAGCCAGTCGTCGCCATCAGTAGTCAACCCGAGTCCCTTAGTCAGCCAGTTTAGTCGTCAGCGCCAGTTAGCACCATTCCCGTCAGTCAGCAGTCTCAGCCCTTTTGTCATCAGTCAGTCCGTCCCGTCAGCCCATCCGCCAGTTAGTCTCCACGTCGTCAGTCGCAGTTAGCATCCAGTCAGTCAGCCAGTCCCCCATTAGTCATCCAGTCATCATCAGTCAGCCGTTGTCACCTCACAACCCCACCGACTCAGCTGTCAGGGTGCTCTAGGGTGTCTGCTCTCTGAATAAAAAGGTGAAAAATGCAGTATGCAGGGGGGGGGGTGTATCGGAGGGGCATGTCACTGATATTAAAAGTCATCCGGTTTGAAGCTACCTTTTTTCCCAAATTTTACTAACTGGTCACGCAGCCCTCTCCTCTCGGTCACAGAGAAAAGGGGGGGTTTAAATCCCCCGTTATCCCAATGGTGATGGTTTTCGACGCAGTGAACACTCTCTCTCCTCTCTCCTTTCTCTCTTTTTCACACCACACACCACCCCCACACAACCCTAAGCATTACCCTACTACACCCCCTTCCCAATGATTTTTTCCAATAATAAGTGAAAGAATTCATATAACAAGGTTAATTTCCCCATTGATTACTAAAAAGCGGGGAATTGGGATTTTTGGGGTGGGTGTGGTGGGGGGCAAAGGGGTTTTGGGGTTTAGGGGGGGTGGGGGAAATTGGGCCGGGCCCAAACCCCTTTTTCCTCTTTACTTCCTTTTTTCTTCTTCTTTCCTCTTTTTCCTTTCCTTTCCTCCTTCTTTCTTTTCTCCTCCCTTTTTCCCCTTCTCCGTATTTTTCCTTTTTCCCCTTTATCTTCTTCTCTCCTTCGGGTCCTCCTTACACAGCCCCCCCAAAAAGCTTTTTAAAACTGAAAGTTTTAAAGGGGCCCATTCTAAAGGGGGGAAAAATTTTAAAGGGGGAACCCTTTTGTTTGGGGGGGGGGGAAAAGTTTGGGGGGGCCAAAGGGGGGGGGGAAAGGGTGAGGGTCCAGGGACAGGGTGCGTGTATGCCCTGCCTTGTGTCTGGTACGGGGAATGGTTTGAGATTAGGGAGGGGTTCCCTTCAGGACATGTCCGTTAATTGGTCCCGGTTGAAGCGCCCTTTTTAATTCCCTTCGCCAGCCCCGTCTCGGGACCAAAGGGTTATCTGTGACCTAAGGTGTTGGTTTTCTCATGCGGGGCATTTCCCCTCCCCCTCCCCTTTTTCACACGACCGCACGCACCTGACGCATTTTTCCCCCGGTGGGCCTTCTAAGATTTTCTATAGTGGATTTCCCTCATGGCTACCGCGGAGTACAAAGGGCTTTCTTGGGGTGGGTGTGGGGGGTCCCGCGCTTCGAGGAGGGGTGGTGTCCTTGGGAGGGCCACCCCCCTCTCATGGTCGTTCTTTGGTGGGGTCTCTCTCCCCGGGGGGGTTTGGGGGGAAGGGGGCGGGCCAGGCAGCGCGGACGGCCGCAGGGGAAATGAGCCGGAAAAAGGGGGGCCCCAAAAAGGGGGGGTACTTACGATAGTGACGAAAAGGTTGGGGGGGGAAAGAATATGGCCTTTCTTTTGGGCAAACCTTCCCCAATCTGTCTCCATCGCTTGTCTTCTCTTTTCTCTCTTCTCTCTCTCTCTTTCTTTTCCTTATTTACCACGTCTCTCTTCTCTCTCTCCTTGTCGGATCCTTTTCTTTCTCTCTTTCTCTCTTTTCCTCTCTTCTCTCTCCCTCCCCTCCTTCCTAGTTAACAACCCTACGTGGGGCGATCCTGGAGGATGCGGTCCCCTCCACAGCAAGACATGGTGCAGCCCGAGGCCTACCTCTGAAAGAGGTTCTGGAATATGTGATGCCTGAACTCAACATCCAGTGTCTCCGTCTGGCCCTCAACTCTCCCAAGGTCCCCGAGCTGCTCCTCAAATTGGACGAACAGGGGGTGAGTACTAGGGTTAGGGGATAGAGAGAGACAGTGTACTGTAGGGTTGGGCTACATGGAGACAGGGCTGGGGTATAGGGCAGTGTCTGAGGCTGGCCCTCAACTCCCCCAAGGTCCCCGAGCTGCTCCAACTGGACGAACAGGGTGAGTAGAGTAGCACAAGGTTAAGACATTTGTTCTCTAGTGTTGTGTGTTGTAGTGCAGGTTGTGAGTTGGAGCCCCGCTGGATCAGAACATAATGATACAGATGGAGACCTTGTCTAGGTTTATATATGTTATTGAAGTTCATTGGCTTTTTGCCTGCTTTTCCACATTTGTATTTTTTGATAGAAACCCTTTGGTAAGAAGCTGACTCCATTTCTCCTAGCAGGAAGAATCCAATAGGGAAACTGTCTGATAAATAAAGCTCTACTACCTGTCATGTTGTCAGTCGATGTCACACTGCAGCTGGATCAATATCCACCCAGACACACTACTAATATCACATCGATCTCTCTGACACGCTCTCTGCTGAGAGAAGACTCAGTCTACAGCCACTGGACTGTAATGCACTATAAGGATTAGGTTGCCATTGGAGATTCAGACTCAGTCTACAGCCACTGGACTGTAATGCACTATAAGGATTAGGTTGCCATTGGAGATTCAGACTCAGTCTACAGCCACTGGACTGTAATGCACTATAAGGATTAGGTTGCCATGGGAGATTCAGACTCAGTCTACAGCCACTGGACTGTAATGCACTATAAGGATTAGGTTGCCATGGGAGATTCAGACTCAGTCTACAGCCACTGGACTGTAATGCACTATAAGGATCAGGTTGCCATGGGAGATTCAGACTCAGTCTACAGCCACTGGACTGTAATGCACTATAAGGATTAGGTTGCCATGGGAGATTCAGACTCAGTCTACAGCCACTGGACTGTAATGCACTATAAGGATCAGGTTGCCATGGGAGATTCAGACTCAGTCTACAGCCACTGGACTGTAATGCACTATAAGGATCAGGTTGCCATGGGAGATTCAGACTCAGTCTACAGCCACTGGACTGTAATGCACTATAAGGATTAGGTTGCCATGGGAGATTCAGACTCAGACCACATGGAGTAATGTAGGAATATTCATCTGACAATTTATTGAATCCCAGGCGTTTGGTTATTCTGTATTCTGAATCCCAGGCGTTTGGTTATTCTGTATTCTGAATCCCAGGCGTTTGGTTATTCTGTATTCTGAATCCCAGGCATTTGGTTATTCTGTATTCTGAATCCCAGGCGTTTGGTTATTCTGTATTCTGAATCCCAGGCGTTTGGTTATTCTGTATTCTGATCCGCGTTTGGTTCTGTATTCTGAATCCCAGGCGTTTGGTTATTCTGTATTCTGAATCCCAGGCGTTTGGTTATTCTGTATTCTGAATCCCAGGCGTTTGGTTATTCTGTATTCTGAATCCCAGGCGTTTGGTTATTCTGTATTCTGATTCCCAGGCGTTTGGTTATTCTGTATTCTGAATCCCAGGCGTTTGGTTATTCTGTATTCTGAATCCCAGGCGTTTGGTTATTCTGTATTCTGCTTAGATGGTACAAGATGCCATGTTGTGTTATCTGTTTAAATGAGATGCTGTCTCTTACCTATCCAGCTCTTACTCTGATTTGATTATGATACTGCTATCTCTTACCTGTCCACCTCTGGGTCTGGGTCAGCTGCTATCTCTTACCTGTCCACCTCTGGGTCTGGGTCAGCTGCTATCTCTTACCTGTCCACCTCTGGGTCTGGGTCAGCTGCTATCTCTTACCTATCCACCTCTGGGTCTGGGTCAGCTGCTATCTCTTACTTGTCCACCTCTGGGTCTGGGTCAGCTGCTATCTCTTACCTGTCCACCTCTGGGTCTGGGTCAGCTGCTATCTCTTACCTGTCCACCTCTGGGTCTGGGCCAGCTGCTATCTCTTACCTGTCCACCTCTGGGTCTGGGTCAGCTGCTATCTCTTACCTGTCCACCTCTGGGTCTGGGTCAGCTGCTATCTCTTACCTATCCACCTCTGGGTCTGGGTCAGCTGCTATCTCTTACCTGTCCACCTCTGGGTCTGGGTCAGCTGCTATCTCTTACCTATCCACCTCTGGGTCTGGGCCAGCTGCTATCTCTTACCTGTCCACCTCTGGGTCTGGGTCAGCTGCTATCTCTTACCTGTCCACCTCTGGGTCTGGGTCAGCTGCTATCTCTTACCTGTCCACCCCTGGGTCTGGGCCACTGAAGCAGCCTGGGATTCTACTGCCTGAGAGGGTACAGTCTTCCCTTTGACATTCTTGAGGAATATCCAATCTATCATCAAGCAGCTCTGTTTCTTCATCAGACAGTGCAGTCATCAGTGAGAGCAGCTCCTTGGTCTCCTCATCCTGAGGGAAAGGAACACTGAACACACACCCTTCCCTTTGTCCTACACAGGATTCATAACAAGGCAGTCATAGCCTCCTGAAGGGGTGCACTGACCTCATCAGCAGATAGGTGAAAGCATTATGGTATTTGTTTTCACCCGTCCAATTTCATTCAGATCAGTATGAGCAGAGAACAGAAAACAGTGACAGTGAGCCATTTCAGACTTTTGAGATTCACCCATAACCTTGGGTTCAGACTATTGAGATTCACCCAAAACCTTGGGTTCAGACTATTGAGATTCACCCATAAACTTGGATTCAGATTATTGAGATTCACTCATAAACTTGGGTTCAGACTATTGAGATTCACCCATAACCTTGGGTTCAGACTATTGAGATTCACCCATAACCTTGGGTTCAGACTATTGAGATTCACCCATAACCTTGGGTTCAGACTATTGAGATTCACCCATAACCTTGGGTTCAGACTATTGAGATTCACCCATAACCTTGTGTACTGTACCTCCAGCGTGGCTCTGTTGATGTTCATGCAGGAGCTGGGACACTCCCCCACCACCATGCCCATGCACTACGCTACTGTCTAGGTGGCTATGCATCCCTCCCGGAATGTCCTGCAGCAGCTCTGACAGGGGGAAGTATATCAGGGCCTCCCAGAATGTCCTGCAGCAGCTCTGACAGGGGGAAGTATATCAGGGCCTCCCAGAATGTGCTGCAGCAGCTCTGACAGGGGGAAGTATATCAGGGCCTCCCAGAATGTCCTGCAGCAGCTCTGACAGGGGGAAGTATATCAGGGCCTCCCGGAATGTCCTGCAGCAACTCTGACAGGGGGAAGTATATCAGGGCCTCCCGGAATGTCCTGCAGCAGCTCTGACAGGGGGAAGTATATCAGGGTTGTGATCATTAGGCACCAAACAGAAGAAAACGCACTTCAACAAGGCAAGACTACAAATAAAATAAAATTGTCCACAATAAAATTTTATTTGTCACATACACGTGTTTAGCAGATGTTATAGCGGGTGTAGCGAAATGCTTGTGCTTCTAGCTCCAACAGTGCAGTAATATCTAACAAGTAATATCTAACAATTTCACAACATATACCCAATACACACAAATCTAAGTAAGGAATGGAATTTAAGAATATATTCATATATGGACAAGCAATGACAGAGCGGCATGGACTAAGATACAGTAGAATATTATAGAATACAGTATATACATATGAGATGAGTAATGCAAGATATGTAAACATTATTAAAGTGACTAGTGTTCCATTTCTTAAAGTGGCCAGTGATTTCAATAGGCAGCAGCAGCCTCTAATGTGCTAGTGATGGCTATTTAACAGTCTGATGGCCATGAGATAGAAGCTGTTTTTCATTCTCTCGGTCCCAGCTTTGATGCACCTGTACTGACCTCGCCTTCTGGATGGTAGCGGGGTGAACAGGCAGTGGCTCGGGTGGTTGATGTCCTTGATTATCTTTTTGGCCTTCCTGTGACATCGGGTGCTGTAGGTGTCCTGGAGGGCAGGTAGTTTGCCCCCGGAAATACGTTCAGCAGACCGCACCACCCTCTGGAGCGTCCTGCGATTGCGGGCGGTGCAGTTGCCATACCAGGCGGTGATACAGCCCGACAGGATGCTCTCAATTGTGCATTTGTAAAAGTTTGTGAGGGTTTTAGGTGCCAAGCCAAATTTCTTCAGCCTCCCGAGGTTGAGGAGGCTCTGTTGCGCCTTCTTCACCACACTGTCTGCGTGGGTGGACCATTTCAGTTTGTCAGTGATGTGTACGCCATGGAACTTGAAGCTTTCCACCTTCTCCACTGCGGTCCCGTCGATGTGGATTGGGGGGTGCACCATCCGCTGTTTCCTGAAGTCCACGATCATCTCCTTTGTTTTGTTGACGTTGAGTGAGAGGTTATTTTCCTGGCACCACGCTCCCAGAGCCCTCACCTCCTCCCTATAGGCGGTAAACAAGCCAATTACTGTTGTGTCGTCTGCAAACTTGATGATTGAGTTGGAGGCGTGCTTGTCCACTCAGTCATGGGTGAACAGGGAGTACAGAAGGGGGCTGAGCAAGCACCCTTGTGGGGCCCCAGTGTTGAGGATCAGTGAAGTGGAGGTGTTGTTTCCTACCTTCACCACCTGGGGGCGGCCCGTCAGGAAGTCCAGGACCCAGTTGCACAGGGTGGGGTTCAGACCCAGGGCCTCGAGCTTAATGATGAGCTTGGAGGGTACTATGGTGTTGAATGCTGAGCTATAGTCAATGAACAGCATTCTTACATAGGTATTCCTCTTGTCCAGATGGGATAGGACAGTGTGCAGTGTGATGGCGATTGCATCGTCTGTGGATCTATTGGGGTGGTAAGCAAATTGAAGTGGGTCTAGGGTGACAGGTAAGGTAGAGGTGATATGATCCTTGACATGTCTCTCAAAGCACTTCATGATGACAGAGGTGAGTGCTACGGGGCGATAGTCATTTAGTTCAGTTACCTTTGCTTTCTTGGGGACAGGAACAAAGAGCTAGCCGCGAGGCCGCCATCTTCGTCGGCACCAGGAGTCCCATAATAAAACATTCATTGTAATTTTCAGTGGAAAATTTTTCCATTTCTCAAATGAACACAACCCAGAGGCTGACAGGTCACAGGTCACAGGTCACAGGTCAGAAAGTAGTGTGAACAGCTCTGATGGTGTGTTGTGGTGTTACCTGAGGGTAGTCATGTCGTCCAAAACGTTATGGTTGTGGTGTTACCTGAGGGTAGCCATGTCGTCCAAAAAGTTATACTTTTGAATCATCTGTCCATAGAACGTTCTTCCAAGAGTCTTGATGATCATCCAGGTGCTTTTTGGCAAACTTGAGTCAACTTTTTGGACGAGATGGGTCCCATTATGCCTGGCGTAAACCAAACACTGCATTCCACAGTAAGAACATCATACCAAAGGTCAAGCACGGTGGTGGTGGGAATGTGATGGTTTGGGGATGCTTTGCTGCCTCAGGACCTGGACAACTTGCCTTAATAGAAGGAACCATGAATTCTGCTCTGTATCAGAGAATTCTACAGGAGAATGTCAGACCATCCGTCTGTGAGCTGAAGCTGAAGAGCAGCTGGGTCATGCAGCAAGACAATGATCCGAAACACACAATCAAGTCTACATGAAAATAGTTAAAAAGCAACACATTTGAAGTTTTGGAATGGCCTAGTCAAAGTCCAGACCTAATTCCAATTGGGATGTTGTAATGAGCAGTTGAAAACCCACAAATGTTGCTGAGTTAAAGCAGTTCCGCATGCAAGAGCAGATAAAGATTCCTCCACAGCGACGTGAGACTGATCAACAACTACAGGAAGCGTTTGGTTGCAGTCATTTCAGCTAAAGATGGCACAACCAGTTATTGAGTGTAAGGGGGCAATTACTTTTTCACACAGGGGAAATGGGTGTTGCATAACTTAGTTAATTAAATAAATAAAATAATTATCCATCTGATAACATTCAGTATCAAAAATATGCAAAAATAGAGAAAATCAGAAAGGGGGGCAAATAGTTTTTCACATCACTTTACTACATGTTGATGTATATGTTGTTTATTTGTTCCAGCTGAGTTTCCAGCACAAGGTGGGGGTGCTGTACTGTAAGGTAGGCCAGAGCACAGAGGAAGAGATGTACAACAACCAATCAGCTGGTCCCGCCCTCGATGAGTTCCTCGACCTATTGGGACAGAGAGTGAGACTGAAGGGATTCACCAAGTACAGAGCACAGCTCGACAACAAGAGTAAGACGATGCACACACCAATCCCCTACCGAGTAAGACGATGCACACACCAATCCCCTACCGAGTAAGACGATGCACACACCAATCCCCTACCGAGTAAGACGATGCACACACCAATCCCCTACCGAGTAAGACGATGCACACACCAATCCCCTGCCGAGTAAGACGATGCACACGCCAATCCCCTACCGAGTAAGACGATGCACACACCAATCCCCTACCGAGTAAGACGATGCACACACCAATCCCCTACCGCGGGCATCTGTAGTACTGTAAATAATGTATGCCTACGTTCCAAATGGCACCCTATTCAACACAGGGCTCTGGTCAAAAGGCATGCACTATGTAGGAAAGAGGGTGTCATTTGGAAGGCACACTGGGTATTATAACAAGACATTGTTTATCTTAATATGAATGTTCTGTATGCCTCTTGTCTTGTTGTTCTACACTAATATTGTTTGTTTACCATTACGGTTTGTTTACCATTACGGTTTGTTTACCATTATGGCTTGTTTACCATTACGGTTTGTTTACCATTATGGCTTGTTTACCATTACGGTTTGTTTACCATTATGGCTTGTTTACCATTACGGTTTGTTTACCATTATGGCTTGTTTACCTTTACGTTTTGTTTACCATTACGGCTTGTTTACCATTACATTTGTTGACTATTATGGTTTGTTTACCATTACAATGTGTTTACAATTACGGTTTGTTTACCATTATTGTTTGTTTACCATTACGGTTTGTTTACCATTACGGTTTGTTTACTATTATGGTTTGTTTACAATTACAGTTTGTTTACCATTACAGTTTGTTTACAGCTCCATTACAGTTTATTTACCATTACGTTTGTTGACTATTACGGTTTGTTTACCATTACGGTTTGTTTACCATTATGGCTTGTTTACCATTATGGTTTGTTTACCATTATGGCTTGTTTACCATTACGGTTTGTTTACTATTACGATTTGTTTACCATTACAATGTGTTTACAATTACGGTTTGTTTACCATTATTGTTTGTTTACCATTACGGTTTGTTTACTATTACGATTTGTTTACCATTATGGCTTGTTTACCAAATTATGGTCTTGTTTAGCCATTACGGCTTGTTGACGCATTATGGCTTGTTTACCAGTATGGCTTGTTTACCATTACTGATTTGTTTACCATTATTGCTGTGTTTACCATTATGGTTTGTTTACCATTATGGCTTGTTTACCATTATGGTTTGTTTACCATTATGGCTTGTTTACCATTACGGTTTGTTTACCATTATGGTTTTTTTTATTTCTTGTTTTAATTCGGTTTGTTTTCCATTAGGCTTTTTACCCTTATGGTTGTTACCATTCGGTTTGTTTTCTATTAGATTTTGGTTTTCCATTACAAGGTTTTACCATTATGGTTTTTTTACCATTTTGGTTTTTTTATTTTGGTTTGTTTACAATTACAGTTTTTTTACCATTACAGTTTTTTCCATTAAATTTGTTTCCTTAGTTTTTTTTTACCCAACGGTTTGTTTTCCCCCTTTTGGCTTTTTACCCTATGGGGTTTTTTTACCATTTCGGTTGTTTTACCAACGGTTGGGTTTCCATTGTTTGGGTTTTAAAAATTTTGGGTTGTTACCATTACGGTTTGTTTTTCCATTTTGGTTGTTTACCATTATGGCTTTTTACCTTACGGTTTTTTTCCATTATGGTTTTTTACCATTAGGCTTTTTCCATTATGGGTTTGGGTTTTCCCTATGGTTTTACCATTTCGGTTGTTTAAATATTCGATTTGTTTACCATTTTTAAAAGTTTTACAATTTTTCGGTTTGGGGTTTTCCATTCGGTTTGTTTACTATTTTGTTTTGTTTACAATTACCGTTTTTTTACCATTACGGTTTTTACTATTTGATTTTTACCATTACAAAATGTTTTCAAAATTACGGTTTTTTTTACCTTATTTTTGTTTTACCTTACGGTTTGTTTACCCCTTTCGGTTTGTTTACTTTAGGTTTTTTTTCAATTACAGTTTGTTTTCCATTACGTTTGTTTACCATTACGGTTTTTTTACCATTTTGGTTTTTGGACTATTTTGGTTGTTTTTCAATTACGGTTTTTTCTTTACGGGTTTTTTACCCTTACGGTTTTTTTTCCTTTGGCTTTTTTACCCTTTTGGTTTGTTTACCATTACGGTTGTTTCCATTACGGTTTGTTTACCCTTATGGCTTGTTTACCCTAGGCTTGTTTTTCCATTCGGTTTGTTAATTACGTTTGTTTCCTTTTGGTTTTTACCATACCCCGTTTTGTTTACCATTACGTTTGTTTCCCTTCGGGTTTTCTTTACATTTTTTTACCCTTACAAAGGTTTACAATTACAGTTTTTTTTACCATTATGGTTTGTTTTCAATTCAGTTTTTTACAATTTTCAGGGTTTTTGGGTTTTCCATTACATTTGTTTACCCTTTCGGTTGTTTTTCCCTTTACGGTTTGCTTACTATTACGGTTTGTTTACAATTACAGTTTGGGTTTTCCCTTAAAAGTTTTTTGACTATTTGGTTTTGTTACCCTTAGTTTGCTTACTTCACAATTGTTTTCCATTCCCCTTTTTTTTACAATTATGGTTTTTTACCATTACAGTTTTTTACCATTACGGGTTTTTTGATATTTCGGTTTTTTTTACATTATGGCTGGTTTTCCATTTCGGTTTGTTACCTTATGGTTTTTTCACCCTTTAGGGTTTGTTTACCATTATAGTTTGTTTACCATTACCGTTTGTTTACCATTACGGTTTGTTTACTATTACGTTTTGTTTACAATTACAGTTTGTTTACCATTATGGCGTGTTTACCATTACAATGTGTTTACAATTACGGTTTGTTTACCATTACGGTTTGTTTACCATTACAGTTTGATACAATTACAGTTTGTTTACCATTACAGTTTGTTTACCATTACGGTTTGTTGACTATTACGGTTTGTTTACCATTATGGCTTTTTTACTATTACGGTTTGCTTACTATTATGATTTGTTTACCATTACAATTTGTTTACAATTATGGTTTATTTACCATTACAATTTGTTTACCATTACGTTACGTTGTTGACTATTACGATTTGTTTACCATTATGAAGCTGACCTGGACTATAACCTCTAACCATGACCTGATATGATCTCTCTCAATGAGCCCGTCTCTGTAGTAGGACCCTAGCCTCTCTGTCTGTCTGTTTCTCCTATAGCTGACTCAACAGGAACCCACTCCCTGTACACCACCTACAAGGACTATGAACTGATGTTCCATGTGTCAACCCTGCCCCCCCCCCCCTCAACCCCCCCCAACAACAGAAACAGGGCAGTACCCCCCTTCACCCCAACAACAGACACAGCAGACCCCCCCCCCCCCACCCCCCCCCCCCCCCCCCTCACCCACAACAGAAACAGGCGACCCCCTTCACCCCAACAACAGAAAAGGTCAGTACCCCCCCCCCCCTTCACCCCCAAAACAGAAAAGGTCAGTACCCCCCTTCACCCCAAAAAGAAAAAGGGTCAGTCCCCCCCCCCATTCACCCCAAAAAGAAAAAGGGTTTCAGTACCCCCCCTTCACCCAACAACAGACAACGGTCAGTGCCCCCCCCCCCCTTCACCCCAAAAAAGAAAAGGTAGTACCCCCCTTCCCCCAAAAAAAGAAAACCAGGTAGACCCCCCCCCCCCCCTTCACCCAAAACCCCGGGAAACAGGTCAGACCCCCCCCCCCTTCACCCCAAAACAGACAACGGTCAAACCCCCCCCCCCTTCACCCCCAAAACAGAAACCAGGTCAACCCCCCCTTCACCCCAAAAACAGAAAAGGTCAGTACCCCCTCACCCCCAAACAACAGAAAAACAGGTCAGTAACCCCCCCCCCCTTCACCCCAACACAGACCAAAGGTCGTACCCCCCCTTCACCCCAACAACAGACAACAGGTCAGTACCCCCCCCCTCACCCCCAACAACAGACAAAACAGGTCAGTAACCCCCCCACCCCCAACAAAACAACAGGCTTACCCCCTCACCCCAAAAAACAGACAAAGGTCAGTACCCCCTTTCACCCCAAAACAAAACAGGTCAAAAACCCCCCCCCTTCACCCCAACAAACAGACAAAGGTCAGTACCCCCCTTCCCCCCCAACAACAGACAACAGGTCAGTACCCCCCCCCCCCCCCCCTCCCCCCAAACAACAGAAAAACAGGCCCAGTACCCCCCCTTCACCCCCAACAACAGACAACAGGTCAGTACCCCCCCCCCCCTTCACCCCCAAACACAAAAACAGGTCAGTACCCCCCTCACCCCAACAACAGACACAGGTCAGTACCCCCCCCCCCCCCCCTTCACCCCCAACAAACAGACAACAGGTCAGTACCCCCCCCCCCCCTTCCCCCCCAAACAACAGACAACAGGTCAGTACCCCCCCCCCCCCCTCACCCCCAAAACAGACAACAGGTCAGTACCCCCCCCCCCCCCTTCCCCCCCAACAACGGGACAACAGGTCAGTACCCCCCCTTCACCCCAACAACAGACAACAGGTCAGTACCCCCCCCCCCCCCCTTCACCCCCAACAAACGGGACAACAGGTCAGTACCCACCCCCCCCCCTTCACCCCCCAACAAAAGACAACAGGTCAGTACCCCCCCCCCCCCCCTTCCCCCCAACAACAGACAACAGGTCAGTACCCCCCCCCCCCCTTCACCCCCAACAACAGCAACAGGTCAGTACCCCCCCCCCCCCTTCCCCCCCAACAACAGACAACAGGTCAGTACCCCCCCTTCACCCCCAACAACAGACAACAGGTCAGTACCCCCCCCCCCCCCCCCCCTTCACCCCCAACAACAGACAACAGGTCAGTACCCCCCCCCCCCCCTTCACCCCCACACAACAGACAACAGGTCAGTACCCCCCCTTCACCCCCAAACAACAGACAGCAGGTCAGTACCCCCCCTTCACCCCCAACACACAGACAGCAGGTCAGTACCCCCCCTTCACCCCCAACAACAGACAAACAGGTCAGTACCCCCCCCCCCCCCCCTTCACCCCCAACAACAGACAAACAGGTCAGTACCCCCCCTTCACCCCCAACACAGACAACAGGTCAGTAAACCCCCCCCCTCTAACAGACCAGATACTGTGTGTCAGTAGCAGCATACTGGTCCTGTGTTGCCCTTCTCTAATTCCCAGAGCAAATTCTTTCTTTAGAGGAGATCTATTCCATCTTCTGACAATCCTCACTAAGAGCCTCATAGCATGTCGGTAACGACCATGAGTGTTAAATCGGGAGTGTTGCCATGACAACTCTGCCCCAGACAGAAGTTGTTTGTTAATCAGTGTCCACTGGGTCCCAGACACCGTAATGTAGTATTAGACAGACGTCAAGCCTATGGAAGGCCGTTCAGATCTTTACATGTTACAATTAACATGTCAAAAAACACAATTTGATGAGTCAAATAACACAATTATTTTCTAAAATGTTGTGTGATGGCAAGACAAGGGCCACACTACGGTCGGTAGCACTGTCAAAAAACAGGTTTGTAAACAAGCACAACCCCGGTCCCTATTGATGTGTTGGGGGTAACGCGTTATAAAGTAACGTGTTAGAGTAGTCAGAATACTTTTTTGTGGTAACAAGTAACTTAACGCGTTCATTTTTCAATTTAAGTAATCAGTTAATTCGTTACTTTTTCCAATAAGCAAATCATTACTTTTAAGGATGATTTCCCTTTTTTCATTATTATTTTTTGCCCCCCAAAAATGAAAATCCCTTCACCTAAGTTCTCGCTCTTCCTGTTTCTTCAAGAACGTTGTGGCGGGAAGCTAGCTAAATAGCAAGATGGCAGAGACAACAGCCTTTACATCGTGGAAGTTTTCACATGATTTAGAATTGGTAGAAGAAAAGGAGACAAACATCATAAGAGAATGCAAACTGTCACCATCCCCTCTAACCACTGAGCCTCGGGGATAAACGCCTGTCAACTGAGAAGAACTCAACTTCAAATATCAAGAAGCACCTACAAGCCAAGCACAGCTCCACAAGACTGGGGGAGAAAGACCCATGCCAGCCAATTGCTGTTGATGCTGTATGACGGTGCTTCTGCTACAAAACAGAAAAAGCTAGATTTCTGTTAGGCTAAACCTGTCACCACGAGATAACTAAATTAACTTGTAGCTGGCTATGCTGTGGAGGAGATGCTTCTTTGGAGTCTCCATCTTTCTGTAAGATTATAAAGAAAATCCCTATGACACGTAACAGGGAGGGGCCAGTGTCTCACAGAAATACATTTGCTAGCTACCTTGACAAAGCCTATTCAGAGATGGAGACAGAACTGCTACCTTGACAAAGCGAACCACCAGCGCCTCCATCACCTGCCTGCGAGAATGACTTTTGTGCATTTCAGTTGGACAACACTCAAGACGACAGAGACATGATGACGGTGGACAATGAGATCACTGAGTATCTGAAGTCAGCTACCAGAATGGATACATTGAACAAATTTCCCAGGGTCAAGTAGATGTCTTTAAAAGTCAACACTCCAACACCACCAGGTGCGCCTGTGGAGAGATTTTTCAGCCTTGGGAGTCTCTTCCTTACTCCAAAGAGGAACGGCTTTCTAACAGACGCTTTGAGAGACTTTGGAGGAAAGCAGTGAAATAACCCAGGTCAGGTCAGGTGTGAAAACTGGCTGTTTTCTGTTGACCTTGGTGTCCACATCACCAACACACTATCATGGTCCAAACACATCACAAACAAACTATCATGGTCCAAACACACCAAGACAGTCGTGAAGAGGGCACGACAAAGCCTATTCCCCCTCAGGTGACTGAAAAGATTTGGCATGGGTCCTCAGATCCTCAAAAAGTTCTACAGCTGCACCATCGAGAGCATCCTGACTGGTTGCATCACCGCCTTGTATGGCAACTGCTCGGCCTCCGACCGCAGCCCAGTACAGCCCAGTACATCACTTCCTGCCATCCAGGACCTCTATACCAGACTGTGTCAGAGGAAGGCCCTAAAAATTGCCAAAGACTCCAGCCACCCTAGTCATAGACTGTTCTCTCTGTTACCGCACGGCAAGCGGTACCGGAGCGCCAAGTCTAGGTCCAAAAGGCTTCTCAACAGCTTCTACCCCCAAGCCATAAGACTTCTGAACAGCTAATCATGGCTACCCGAACTATTTGCATTGCCCCCCCACCCCACCCCAACCCGCTCTTTAACGCTGTTGCTACTCTGTTTATTATTTATGCATAGTCACTTTAACTCTACCCACATGTACATATTACCTCAATTACCCCGACTAACCGGTGTCCCAGCACATTGACTCTGTACCGTTACCCCCTTTATATAGCCTCCCTACTGTTATTTTATTTTACTGCTGCTCTTTAATGATTTGCTATTTTCTATTTTTTACTTATGTATTTTTTACTTAACACTTTTTTAATTGTTTTCTTAAAAAACTGCATTGTTGGTTAAGGGGTTGTAAGTAAGCATTTCACTGTTGTATTCGGCGCATTTGGCAAATAAAATTGGATTTGATTTGATTTGAGCTCAAGAGGCCCTGTCCGAGGTGCTGAACCTGGTGCGGACCTTTGAAATGTGGCGATTTTTCTTTTGTAGCCTACTTCGTGATTTTCGCGATCTTTGGTCAAGTTTGTTTGACTTCAATGCGTCTTTGATGATTGAAAGTAGTTATTTTGATTGCATGCCATTTATTTCAATGCATTCTGTTTAGGATTTATCTGACAGTTTGCATTCATGGTCAGCAGTTTAATCACATCCAATCAGCATTGATACATCTGTTTTTATTATCATAATGTGTTTACAGTTCTCCTCCTCACAGTTACATTTCAACATAGGCTGCTGAACTAAAAAGGCCAAATAATAATGTGATAAAAAAATAAGACATTGTTTATTGCAAAATACACTGTTAAATTTACTAAAACCACTGAAACAATTATTAGCATCATTAAAAAAAAAAATCACTTTAACTTAGAGATATCTGTTTTTTTTGCATTGGATGCTTCTCAATCCACCTCATCCGTCGATGTCGCATTTGACAGAGCTAGAGCGGTGTTTATCAGACCATGAGACATTCTGAAAACCGGTCTAATCACAAAATCGTCTGTAGCGTCCGAACATGGAGACATATACATGGATACATATACAGTGGGGAGAACAAGTATTTGATACACTGCCGATTTTGCAGGTTTTCCTACTTACAAAGCATGTAGAGGTCTGTAATTTCTATCATAGGTACACTTCAAAAATCCAGAAAATCACATTATATGATTTTTAAGTAATTAATTTGCATTTTATTGCATGACATTAAGTATTTGATACATCAGAAAAGCAGAACTTAATATTTGGTACAGAAACCTTTGTTTGCAATTACAGAGATCATACATTTCCTGTAGGTCTTGACCAGGTTTGCACACACTGCAGCAGGGATTTTGGCCCACTCCTCCATACAGACCTTCTCCAGATCCTTCAGGTTTCGGGGCTGTCGCTGGGCAATACGGACTTTCAGCTCCCTCCAAAGATTTTCTATTGGGTTAAGGTCTGGAGACTGGCTAGGCCACTCCAGGACCTTGAGATGCTTCTTACGGAGCCACTCCTTAGCTGCCCTGGCTGTGTGTTTCAGGTCGTTGTCATGCTGGAAGACCCAGCCACGACCCATCTTCAATGCTCTTACTGAGGGAAGGAGGTTGTTGGCCAAGATCTCGCGATACATGGCCCCATCCATCCTCCCCTCAATACGGTGCAGTCGTCCTGTTCCCTTTGCATAAAAGCATCCCCAAAGAATGATGTTTCCACCTCCATGCTTCACGGTTGGGATGGTGTTCTTGGGGTTGTACTCATCCTTCTTCTTCCTCCAAACATGGCGAGTGGAGTTTAGACCAAAAAGCTCTATTTTTGTCTCATCAGACCACATGACCTTCTCCCATTCCTCCTCTGGATCATCCAGATGGTCATTGGCAAACTTCAGAAGGGCCTGGACATGCGCTTGCTTGAGCAGGGGGACCTTGCGTGCGCTGCAGAATTTTAATCCATGACGGCATAGTGTGTTACTAATGGTTTTCTTTGAGACTGTGGTCCCAGCTCTCTTCAGGTCATTTACCAGGTCCTGCCGTGTAGTTCTGGGCTGATCCCTCACCTTCCTTATGTTCATTGATGCCCCATGAGGTGAGATCTTGCATGGAGCCCCAGACCGAGGGTGATTGACCGTCATCTTGAACTTCTTCCATTTTCTAATAATTGCGCCAACAGTTGTTGCCTTCTCACCAAGCTGCTTGCCTATTGTCCTGTAGCCCACCCCAGCCTTGTGCAAGTCTACAATTTTATCCCTGATGTCCTTACACAGCTCTCTGGTCTTGGCCATTGTGGAGAGGTTGGAGTCTGTTTGATTAAGTGTGTGGACAGGTGTCTTTTATACAGGTGACGTGTTCAAACAGGTGCAGTTAATACAGGTAATGAGTGGAGAACAGGAGGGCTTCTTAAAGAAAAACTAACAGGTCTGTGAGCGCCGGAATTCTTACTGGTTGGTAGGTGATCAAATACTTATGTCATGCAATAAAATGCAAATTAATTACTTAAAAATCATACAATTTGATTTTCTGGATTTTTGTTTTAGATTCCGTCTCTCACAGTTGAAGTGTACCTATGATAACAATTACAGACCTCTACCTGCAAAATCGGCAGTGTATCAAATACTTGTTCTCCCCACTGTACATGGAGACATATACATGGAGACATATACATGGAGACATATACATGGAGACTGTTTAGTGCCAAAAATAAGGTGTTCAAATAAGATCAGGCTCAAAGGATCAAAATGTAACTTACTTGTCCAATATTCCAACCTTCTTACTGGTCCAACATTCCAACCTTCTTACTGGTCCAACATTCCAACCTTCTTACTGGTAGTCCAACATTCCAACCTTCTTACTGGTAGTCCAACATTCCAACCTTCTTACTGGTAGTCCAACATTCCAACCTTCTTACTGGTCCAACATTCCAACCTTCTTACTGGTCCAACATTTCAACCTTCTTACTGGTAGTCCAACATTCCAACCTTCTTACTGGTAGTCCAACATTTAAACCTTCTTACTGGTAGTCCAACATTCCAACCTTCTTACTGGTAGTCCAACATTCCAACCTTCTAACTGGTAGTCCAACATTCCAACCTTCTTACTGGTAGTCCAAAATTCCAAACTTCTTACTGGTAGTCCAACATTCCAACCTTCTTACTGGTAGTCCAACATTCCAACCTTCTAACTGGTAGTCCAACATTCCAACCTTCTTACTGGTAGTCCAACATTCCAACCTTCTTACTGCTAGTCCAACATTCCAACCTTCTTACTGGTAGTCCAACATTCCAACCTTCTCACTGGTAGTCCAACATTCCAACCTTCTTACTGGTAGTCCAACATTCCAACCTTTTTACTGGTAGTCTAACATTCCAACCTTCTTACTGGTAGTCCAACATTCCAACCTTCTTACTGGTAGTCCAACATTCCAACCTTCTTACTGGTAGTGCAACATTCCAACCTTCCCATAGGCCAAGGATGGTGGTCATGCTGCTGCTGCAAGCGAGCCACAGCCCAAGCAGTTGCACCTGATTTATCTTTGTCAACATGGATGACAGTTTGGAAACTGGAGGTAGGCTGTCTCCCTACTATGTTGACTTTGGTTTCCCGAGTCCCCAACAACCGGATGTTCCAGTTTTCAGGGGAAATGGAAAGAGAGCCTGTGACGCAACTTCCGCTTTTGGACGTTAACAAGGCGACACTCTATCTGAACTCCTCCTCCACATTTACTGGATTGGTTGAACCTCCCCCTACAGTTTTTTTGTTTTCTAGTTAAGACCAGTATGTAGGGGTTCTAGTTTCAGACCAGTATGTAGGGGATCTAGTTTCAGACCAGTATGTAGGGGGATCTAGTTTCAGACCAGTATGTAGGGGGATCTAGTTTCAGACCAGTATGTAGGGGGATCTAGTTTCAGACCAGTATGTTGGGGATCTAGTTTCAGACCAGTATGTAGGGGATCTAGTTTCAGACCAGTATGTAGGGGGATCTAGTTTCAGACCAGTATATAGGGGATCTAGTTTCAGACCAGTATGTAGGGGATCTAGTTTCAGACCAGTATGTAGGGGGATCTAGTTTCAGACCAGTATGTAGGGGGATCTAGTTTCAGATCAGTATGTAGGGGGATCTAGTTTCAGACCAGTATGTAGGGGGATCTAGTTTCAGACCAGTATGTAGGGGATCTAGTTTCAGACCAGTATGTAGGGGATCTAGTTTCAGACCAGTATGTAGGGGGATCTAGTTTCAGACCAGTATGTAGGGGGATCTAGTTTCAGACCAGTATGTAGGGGATCTAGTTTCAGACCAGTATGTAGGGGGATCTAGTTTCAGACCAGTATGTAGGGGATCTAGTTTCAGACCAGTATGTAGGGGATCTAGTTTCAGACCAGTATGTAGGGGGATCTAGTTTCAGACCAGTATGTAGGGGAT